ACACACACATCTCCCGGCACCGATTCTCATCCCCCAGCACAGATTGCGATACTTTATCAACACCTCTTCCGCCCTCCCCCTCCTTTCGTGAACTCAAACATCTATCCAGCCCACATTTTCAACCCTTCCACCTCCTACACTCGTCCAACTCCTTGACATCACCGCGCTTAACTCTTTCGGCGGGGAAACAAGAGCTACCGGCACCACCGACCTTCCGGCACCACCGACCTTCCGGCACCACCGACCTTCCGGCACCAAAAGGCTAGGCCTATTCTAGGTCAATCAGGGCCGCTGACCCAGTAGTGCCCGTCCAACAGCCTGGATTGTGGTGCAGTAGGACCCAAATGCTCTGGGGTGCATCGATCTGAGCTGATCCGGCAGGACCCAGCAGTCTGGATTTGCGCACGATCTTAAGATCTTAAGACTTCGCGTCGATCCAGACCGTCAGGCCAGTAGGACCCAACGGCTCGGATTCAAGAATTGTTACATGGATTCTGATGATCCAGGCCGTGGCTGGTAGAACGAACGACGGCCTGTATCTGAGATTGGTTCCCTTAGCGATTTTAATAGTGTAGGGATGATATAGATGCCAACATCATAACGGAGCTCAAAAGAACACGCACATGCAAAAACGGAGCAGCCTGAAAAACATAAACAAGGACATACCAGACATGCAAACAGAAACAGCAAACTCCAACAACCGTTAAGGAAAACGGCTGTGGATGGGGCTGGTATAGCACAAAAGCATCTCCATCTCCATCTCCGTCGGATATTGGGGCAGATCTTTCAGATGCAAGCATGCAGTAGAGCCCACGAACATTTGATGTAAGAGAGCCCAAGTTGGCGACACTTAAAACCGCCACTACCTCTGTGTACCTAACCCCCAAGAGACCTGAGAAAGCCACCAGGTTTTGTAGCAGTGTCCGGTAGCTCGGCAGGAAAAAGTAAGGTGGTCCTACTCTGTCTCCACTTCCTGGAACTGACCTGCCAAGTCCAACAAGGCCAGGCATCACACCAGTTCCTGCTACCATCTTCACCCAAACAGAACGCCTGGTCACTATCGCTCTATCCATGCCACAAGTTGCTCCAAATACGGCTGTAACGACCGGGTGTTCTATTCGGGTGAAGATGGTATTCAGCAGGGGGAAATCCAGCCCTAAGCATGTGATCCATTGACATCAACATTTAACACTTACCATCAACCATACGGTGAATGAGCTGGCCGCCATCAGAACTGAAATTCGACACCGAATCGAGCCACTACATTGCACAGACGGCCAGAATCTACCCTCAAAATTGACCTGATGCAGCAATGCTGCCAGCAACGCACAATCATGGTACATTCCTCTCCACAGTCTGAGCCCAAAAAGCAGGACGCGGGATCATATTCACGGCAGTCATGACAACTTGCTTGATGGTGCTGGTTCAGTATAGCCCCTTCCTTTTCTCCCCCCCTTCCTGCAACACCACTATACTTGATGATACTGGGTCAGTGTGTCATGATGCCCTAGCCCCTTCCTTTTCTCCCCCCCTTCCTGCAACACCACTGTCCAAGGACATGGACGCTTTCTCTCTCTTACATATCCAACGATAAGATGGCACAGGGCCGAGTGCCGTGCATCAATGAGGCGCAGTGGACCAGACAGAGTGGGTGCTGAGAGATCTTTGATTTGTTGGTGACAACTCTTTCTTTCTGGATTCTGCTTTCGCTTAAGAGTAGATTTTGAAGGAGCTGGACTACCGTCTTCCCCCGAACACAACACTCCTTGGTAAGAATCTTTTAGGCCCACAAAGGTACAGGCAGCAAGATAATACAACACCACGCTCCTTTATACGAATCTTTTAGGCCCAGAAAGGTACAGGCAGCACGATACTACAACACCAGAAAACCACACAGATTGTCCTGCACCATAGATAGGACAAATTGCGCGTAATGGCACTAAAAGATCATACAGGACCAGAAAACCATGCAAACGGGACAATAGCATAGCAAGGACGAGTTGGATATAATGACAGCAAGATGCAATAGAACACCAGGCGACCACACAGACGACACTGCAGTACAGCAAGGACGCGTTGCATACCTGAATTCGCTCCCGTTTGCCTGCCGACTTTCCAGTCTTCACCCGCACTGCGTCTTCTGTGAATCCAAGATCAATCTCATCTGATCTCCCCCACGAGGAAAGGTCGAAAGCAGCAGAATATACCAAAGGAATCTCGTAGCAGAAAAATTGCCTTCAAATGCTTCTTGTCGTACACAAATCAGGGAAACGATCCCCATCTTCTGCGTCTTCAGTCGTACTCATCAGTAGGTCAATGGTGTTTGCCCCTACATGACGGCAGCAAGCGTGCTGGTAAAACAGCTTAAGAGATGGACGCAGCTACCCTGCCCAGTTCTAAAATCCCTATAAGCAGAGGGTCTAACAAATCCGCAACTGGCCACAACTACAGCAACGTGCCTGTGAAACCAGGAGAATCCCCACAAGCCTTCCGATGCTCCGCTGCAACCATTTGCTTTTGAATCCGTTCGTTGCTGTAAAGCCTACACTCCCTGCGACTTCTAGCAAGCCTTCAGGGCCTTGCTCATGCCAAGCAGAATCGATTGGCGGTTCTGCTTTCTTAAAATGAGGTAGGAAGTTTCCTTACAAGCTGTGGCGCGAAGGGAAACACTAGCAATCTATTACACCAATAGAAATCGATACAACGAGCAATAAGGAAACTGAAACATGTACGACTATGGCTAACGCAATTTGCAATTTGTGGAGCACGCAACATTCTGGCAGGGACTACAGTCGTACCCCGGAAGAAAAAGAAGAAAAACGCTGCTCGTTCCGCCATTGACCCACCGCATATTCACCATGGTACAACTGGCATTGCAGCCAGAGTTGCAGCTTCAATATTCCTCTAGCAATATTCTGCAGTTTCGCCTCCGGACAAGACGCTCCTCTACCTGCCGGGTACCTTTCACACAAGTCGTCAAAGCCCAGCACCTCCAAGATGGAAACAACTGTATCTTTGAATGATGATATCATGAAGCCCACCCCGTCAAAACGTTGTGTTCCATCTTGCAAGCACAGGTACTGCCGGCAGGTAAAGACCCCGGGCTGTGGCTCACCGCCTCCGCGGTTGCAGAAAGGGGGCTTCATGCTGCAACCACATCAAGTTCAAGGATAAGAAAAACCATACACAGTACACAGCCATGACAAGGAAGCGTGTGGAGCTGACGAACTCGTCAGCAGAAACAGAAAATATCTTCAGTTATGAGAGGATACATGTTTTCCAACACTTTGCCAACAACTTCCTCCGAAAAGCCAATCCATAAGATTTCTGGACTCTCTCTCTCTCTCTCTCTCTCTCTCTCACACACACACACACACACACACACACACACACACACACTGTGCATGCCACTAGACCCCGATCCAAAATGACAGAAACGTCCGTGATTAGGCTCAATTCATTCTGGGATTTTACTACTGAAGTCTAGCCAAGGTTACCCATTTATAACTGCACACAAGTACGAAAACAACGACAACAGTAGATGGTGATAACGGGTAAAGGCCACACTCCATTGATGAACGACTACAAATAATCCCGTTATTGTAAAGCTTTCGTCATAGCAGTCATTACATTAGCCACGTTTAGCACAAATAGAACCAACCACCCCCGTTGCGTTTCTTCAAGGCAAACAGAACCAACCACCCCCGTTGGTGTGTCATTGCATTGGCCACTTTGGACTCGTCACTGATATATTAGCACAGAAGACTCGAGATTCCAATCCACATGCCAGAGGAAGAGGATGAAACAGACCCAGCCACCTGCAGCTTGGTCAACCAGTTGGATCCGGCCTGTTCTCGATTTCCGGCTTCGTAGTAACTGTTTCCCTGTTTCCGCTACTTCCTTCCTCCCACCCCTCAATCCGTGAGCCTCTACATTTCGAAGTCACTGGGACTACCATGAACAGAAGCCCTAAACCACAACTCATTGCAACCCAAATGTTGCACCCGCGCACAATGGGCTCACAGGTCAGTTCAACCTACCAAACTGGAAATACTACACAGCTGCCGTTCAAAGAGCCGACCCTACACCAGTACGGACCCCAGGCTTAGTCAGAAAATGAGGTCCTACAACTTTGCTCGAGGGTACCAGTGATTCAAGAGTACACGGAAACATTGTCATAATGCTTTGGTTCCATACTGTCCCATGGCCTGGAGGAGAAACCTGGCAAATGCTCAAATTTTACAACCCAAAAAAAGAATCGAAAAAGGACCTCCGGATATGTACACAGATGAGAAGATCAGCAAGGTCAAACCACATGAGTTCAAACACTGTCACATTTGAAAATCACTGCCCAGTGAAATTACCAAACCAACCAGCTTGGTGACTGACTACACACACTAATCCATGGACAGCGTCAGAGATCTCGTCCCTTGTCAGCAATCATTCTTGAACCCAACCCGGTACCTTGACCTTCAAATGAGCTGAATCCATGCTTTGGGACGTGGAAGCTGACTTCATGCTTCCACACGAGCTTTCACACGGGACAATCCGTAACTGGGTCTATATCTCATCGGACACCCCGTTAAATACGGACAGGCGTGTTCCATTCTATTACTCGATGTCCTAGACAACATATCAAGGGCCATTTCCCCAGCACAAACGTCGAAACAAGTCCCTGCTTTCCTAACAAAGTCCTCCACACGTGATATATCTACCTATGACTCATGTTTACGCTTCATCCGACACTTATGTACCGCATGTCCCAGATGTCCTATCAGAGGTCGTCTACCTTATTGCACATCCCTTCTCACTTCTTTCCCAGAAAGATCTGCCACACAGGTTATCAATATCCATCAGTGAGGTTTACACCTTGCCCATCGTCGACCCTGCTAACAGGACAGGAATGCCCCTCTTCCTATCAACGTTGTTTCCTTCATAGCAAAGAAGAAATTCCTTACCCTCTTCTATCTCAACTAGTCCACAAATTTCACATCCAATAATATGCAGAGAGAGCGGAATAGGGAAGTACCTGAGTGACAGGAGCCTGGAATCTGCTATCGTGGAGAAACATGCCAGGAGGTGGCATAGGAGAACCGTGAAACTGCATTGAGCTCCCAGCCGACGAAGGAGGTGGAGGTGGAGGAGGTGGCGGCGGCGGCGGCTGCATGTACATTGCAATTGAAGCATGGGGTGGGGCTATCGCCCCAGGGCCAGGTCCATACATACCCATCACCTGCCCAGCTGGTGGACCCCGAAACGGAGAGGTCATTGAACCAAGAGCGTCGCCCCATGGCGCACGTAAATGTTGATGCGGCAAATGAGGCGAAGTTTCCACATGCACCGGTGAAGGAGGTGGCGGCCGGTGTGGCGGCGCCGGTCTCACCACCGTCGGCGCCAACTGGGGGAACTCCGTATTGTAGTTGATCACGGGAGCATAGATAGGTTGCACAGGATATGAAGTGACTGGCATTCCAAATCCAGGGTCAAACCGTTGCGCATACCTGACCAAACAACGAGCAGGGCACACAGCAAGTCGTTTTTTAAGGCAAATTTTGAGACAGTTTCCATAACCGTAGATGTCCATAGTCCTAGATAGATACAGCACACTTGTTCACATGTGAGGTCAGCTCGGCTGTTTAGACATGCTGATCCGTTGCTTAGACATGCTATTCATTGATTACGACACATCCACAAGGAAACAGCTGTTCAAGCTCGGACGCAGCGGGGGAGGGAAGCGGGAGGAGGGGAGAAGGGGGGAACAGAGGCAAAGAATGCAAATCAAGGGCATCTCAACGATATAGCAATCTCCAAGTGCGTGCGATCAAGCAGAAGGAGACAAGCACCCATAGGCGAGGAACCCATTAAGCCCACACCTCTGCGAGGATAAACATAGGAACAAGCATGACAGTCTCTTCATCCGAACATTTGAATGATGACAAAAAAAGTCAAAGGAGATAAAGAGATATCAAGCTCAAGATATTGCAACATGCTCCTTCAAACTTTACAAGAAGGAGAAGAGGAAAAGGCATTCGTGATGTCGCTCGAAATTGCTATTCCGAAAAGTGATGTGTCGAATAGCCTCGGGCCAGTGGGTACACCCATAAACTGTTGAAATACAGACAAGTTCAAGTCCAGATGCAGTCAGATGATGAACGGAATAAAATAATTCTGAATTACCAGATGCCGGTCATTTCACGATTCCACACCCTATTTTCAGAAGGGAAAATAAAGAATAACTTTTGCTTTCATAAAGAATAACCTTCGGAAAGCAAAACACTCAGGCAAGGTTTTAATCTTCTTCAAAATAATTCTGAGAACAGGATCCATCGGATGGGCAAACGACTACCGTCTTCCTCCAAACACAACGCACCCTCATTATGAATGTATAGAGGCTAGATTTCCAGTCCAATGCACTCAAAATGAGGGTGTGTTGTCCAATGCACTCAAAATGAGGGTGTGTTGTGTTCGGGGGAAAACGGACGAAAAGCGGTCAAACCACCTGTCCATATAAATGTGTCGCGGCTACTGCTGCCGCTTTGATCCAAATCTCAGGAAATAAGCAAACGCTTCAAAAACAGGACACATCACAGGAGGGAGGGAATTCTGAATTGCACTCCAACACCATCGCACTCCCACACAATTTGAGCCCCACAGAAACCTCTTGACCTTTAATATCCCCCCCCCTCCTCAAAAAGCAACAAAACAAACGACATCTGAAAACACAAGAAAAGAAAAAAAAAACATCACAGCAAAGCAAAGCAGATTGACGACGGAGGGAAGAACATTGATGCACACTCTCATTCACCCACCTATCCAGACGCCTATCGTAGTCCGGATCTTTCCTGTCCTGCTCTCGATCCCGAAAGATGGCCACGCGATTTGGCTTCCCTCTACTGCCTCCACAACTAGCCTCTCCTGATCCTGCACCTCCTTTCTTCGAATTCGTAGCCAAGCCACCATTAGCAGTAGCATTCCCTTCTGCTGCAGGGGTTTTAAGTGGACTCCCATGGACAGAAGGCATCAGTGCGCTGCTCACAGGGCTACCTCCAGCATCATTTTCGTTACCCCCCCCGACTGAAGCAGCATTGCTACCCGCATTCGATGCGGTGGTATTTTCAATAGCGCTCAATTCCCCCCCTTCCCCTGATTTCGGCAGAGATCCATTGCTGAAAATCCGAGCACGTGCTCTATTGTACTCCTCCCTTCTCTCCTCCACACTCCTAACCCGATTCGGCTGCGCAGAGGATTGAAAGTTCATGCCCATCATCGAGTTGCCTTGCCCTCCACGGTCCGGCCTCTGTATGATTGCCACTTTCGACATTCCTGGGACCGCAACCTTTTGGTTACCTTCTGCCTGTGACGTGTCAGGTATGTCCGCCAGTCTAACCGCTGGGACGTGCGTCTCCGCCGTCCTCCTCGCTACGATCTTACTCCCTTCCAGCGTTTCTACAGCCGACGTCTGGAGAAGATAGTGTTGCGCCACTCTATGCGCAGCTAAGCGCAAGTACGACGATGTCATAACTGGGAACTCTAGCTGCTGTTTTTTCGATCGGACAAACTTTTCCACCTCTTGTTCGAGTCGCAAGACTGGCACATCAGAAGAAACAACATTCCACAAAACACCAAAAACCCGTCAACCAACCCGGTTAGGCAAGCAGATAACAGCAGCATTCTTTCAACAACATTTTCTCCCTTCTCCTGCACCCTCTCCTACTCCTCATTCTTCAGCACATCCATCTCCCAGTCACACTACACCACCATCCATCCAGTCCTACACACAGCTCTCAATCAGGCTCCCACCTAGATGGATGGGCTGAAGAACCAATCGTTACTTTATCATCCATCAGCATCGTTCTTTCAACAACTTTTTCTCCCTTCTCCTGCACCCTCTCCTGCTCCTCGTTCTTCAGCCCATCCATCTCCCACTCACACCACACCACCATCCATCCAGCCCTACACACAGCTCTCAATCAGGCTCCCCCTAAAAATCTCATATCGTTACTTTACCATCAGCAGCATTCCTTCAACATTTCCACATTTTCTCCCTTCTCCTGCACCCTCTCCTACTCGTTCTTCAGCGCCGTTCAGCAGCAATCAGAGCCGTTCTCCTACTCGTTCTCCCCCAAGAGATTGCTTCATTGATCATAAAGCCTTTCACCGAAGACAAGTTTCGTGGTGCTGTACACGACTATACAGAACAACATACGGCATACAGTTTCTTCTCAAATCACCTTGTCCAATCACAGCCATTCATTCATTGCCAATCGTCAGCCACTCACGTTGGCTCTCTTCCAACTCGAGAAACTCACCTTTTCCACGATTAACCTCAGAGAGCCCTTACGGTTGGGGACCAGAAGGAAAAAGACCAAATGACAGACTCAACTCGCTGATCCAGCAGACTGATATCTAAGGTTTACAGCCTCTACTGCCTACTTCTCGGTTGTTCATAGCTTTGATTTGATCGTCCCTACGTTTTAGGTTATTCACGCCCTTCGAGATCGTCCAGCTTCTCTCACCTGCAAAAACGTTTCCTGCTCCTCAAGATCAAGCAAGCGCCTATAGAAGGAAACAGCTTCAGCCAAAAGAAAAGCAACCACCCAGAAAATTTCCCTCCGCCTTTTCACCCTTCTGCTGGTTCGGTTTTCAGACTTCGATACTCTTCTTCACCAACGTGCACTCACCGCTCGTGTTGCTACCCTGACAAACAAGAAAGCCCACCAACTGCCTACATTGACAGACAAGAAAGCCCACCAACTGCCTACCCTAACTGGGAAGAAAGCCCACCAACTGCTACCCTGACTGGCAAGAAGGACCACCAACGAAAGCACTATGGCATCTTCTTCTGCCAGTAACGAAAACGCCATCTTGAGAAGTAAGGTGGATCTCAGAGAAGAGAAGAAAGGTCAAAAGGAGAACAATCCTCGTTCACCATTAACCCCCCTCAAGCCCGCCGTCAGAATAAGCTGAATGGAACTTGTCAAACCTCCTCATTTTCATTACCAACCTCACTCAATCTCCGCCTCCTAGAAAGGTGTACGTGAGCAACCCCCCCAATCTACGGTCCGGAACAACCTGCCACCGTTCCTCCCCATCTCCCCTCAAAACGACTAGATGCGAAGATGGTTGTAACAATATATATTGTCACACTGTAAATGCGCGAAGGCGAAAAAAAAAAAAAAAAAAAAAAAACAAGGAAACGAAGGAAGGAAGGAAAGCCCCACCCTGTTCATCACCTCTTACGTACAAGGCCAGCCACGTGGATGACAGGTTGAGCGCTGGCTGCCCCCATCCCCGTGTGTCACAAGAACCCACTTGCACGCCGCCAAAAGGCAAAGAGGTAAAAAAAGGAGGAAACCAAACCTGACAGGGAAAGAAAGATAATCCAATTGTCACAAAGCAAATAACACATCCCACAATTTTTTTTTTTTTTTTTTTTTTTTTTTATATATATAGGCCATTTCACATTTCATTCAATTTCAAACAAACTCTCATGTCATACACATACAGACGACAGCGAACATGTAGAGGACACCTCTACTTCCTTCCCCGTTCAATGGCCGCGCTCCAAGGGTGGTCATCGATGTCACTCTCAATCGGCTCTCCGTTTTCCCTCTTCGCATCTCCTCCCGCCATCCTCCC